CCAACACCATATGCACCCACGGCTAGCAGGAAGGCTCTGCCAACACCATATTCCCCCATGGCGAGCAGGAAGGCTTTGCCAACACCATACTCACCCATGGCGAGCATGAAGGCTCTGCCAACACCATATTCACCCATGGCGAGCATGAAGGCTCTGCCAACACCATATTCACCCATGGCTAACATGAAGGCTCTGCCAACACCATATGCACCCATAGCTAGCATGAAGGCTCTGCCAACACCATATTCACCCATGGCTAACATGAAGGCTCTGCCAACACCATATGCACCCATAGCTAGCATCAAGGCCCTGCCAACACCATATGCACCCATAGCTAGCATCAAGGTTCTGCCAACACCATATGCACCCATAGCTAGCATCAAGGCTCTGACAAAACCATTTGTCTACGTTGCTAACCAGTTACGTACCGAGACGGTTAAAAATGTTAAATCTGTTTTAATCGTTGGCTCGTAAGACAAAACAATTCGTTCCGAGAGACTGGTCTAAAAGTGTTCGAAGAAAAACGCCTGTCACAGCAAATGATATTATCATTAAATTGAATGATATGAAAAGACTTCTATACAAATACAAATTGGATTACAGAAACAAAAATTGTATCAGCTTATAGCAAGTGGGGGGGGGGGAGGGAAAGGTACAATCCTCAAGATAGAAATATTAATTCTGAAACACAATAATATGAAAGTCTCATGTGTCTATCTATACGTCTTCTTTTAGTGCTATCTCTCGTCAAGTCACTGCTAAGAAACCAGGAGGGCCCTATGTGGGAATTAAATCCAAGCGTTCTCTAGTTTAGAAACTCTAGAAATTTGCGTCACCAAGGGGCATTCTTGAGAGCTGTAAATAGAACGTATTAAAATGTAAACAAACTCTTAACCCAGCCTGGACAGGAGCGTTAAACGAACGTGCAAAGTCGAGACAAGGTCAAGGGTTGGTGGTGGCCAAAAATAAACATCCGTTGAAGTTTCAAAACAAGCCCTATTCAGTACTAGCGGATATATAAGAAACCTGTAGAATATGCTAACACTATATGTCAGCATAACCAGTCTGTAGAATATGCTAACACTATATGTCAGCATAACCAGTCTGTAGAATATGCTAACACTATATGTCAGCATAACCAGTCTGTAGAATATGTTAACACTATATGTCAGCATAACTAGTCTGTAGAATATGCTAACACTATATGTCAGCATAACTAGTCTGTAGAATATGCTAACACTATATGTCAGCATAACCAGTCTGTAGAATATGTTAACACTATATGTCAGCATAACCAGTCTGTAGAATATGTTAACACTATATGTCAGCATAACTAGTCTGTAGAATATGCTAACACTATATGTCAGCATAACCAGTCTGTAGAATATGCTAACACTATATGTCAGCATAACCAGTCTGTAGAATATGCTAACACTATATGTCAGCATAACCAGTCTGTAGAATAAGTAGAATATGTTAACACTATATGTCAGCATAACTAGTCTGTAGAATATGCTAACACTATATGTCAGCATAACCAGTCTGTAGAATATGCTAACACTATATGTCAGCATAACCAGTCTGTAGAATATGTTAACACTATATGTCAGCATAACCAGTCTGTAGAATATGCTAACACTATATGTCAGCATAACCAGTCTGTAGAATATGCTAACACTATATGTCAGCATAACCAGTCTGTAGAATATGTTAACACTATATGTCAGCATAACCAGTCTGTAGAATATGCTAACACTATATGTCAGCATAACTAGTCTGTAGAATATGCTAACACTATATGTCAGCATAACTAGTCTGTAAAATATGCTAACACTATATGTCAGCATAACTAGTCTGTAGAATATGCTAACACTATATGTCAGCATAACTAGTCTGTAAAATATGCTAACACTATATGTCAGCATAACTAGTCTGTAGAATATGCTAACACTATATGTCAGCATAACTAGTCTGTAAAATATGCTAACACTATATGTCAGCATAACTAGTCTGTAGAATATGCTAACACTATATGTCAGCATAACTAGTCTGTAGAATATGCTAACACTATATGTCAGCATAACTAGTCTGTAGAATATGTTGACAAAAGATGTCCACATAGCTAGTTTGTAGGCTCTTACAGATTCATACGACAACACAAGTAGCCTGAAGGTTCTATTAACCGCACATGTTTACATAACTATCCTGTAGCTTCTGCAAACACCATGTCTCTACATAAATAACTAGCCTTTAGACTCTGCTAACACCAAATTTTCCGAATCGGCTAACACCAAAATGTCCACATGACTAACCTTTAGACTCTGCTAACATCAAATTTTCCACATAACTAACATATTATAGAAACTGCTAACACCAAATTTTCCACATGAATAACCTTTAGACTCTGCTAACACCAAATGTTCCACATAACTAACATATAGAATCTGCTAACACCAAATTTTCCACATAACTCACCTGTAGGTTCTGATAACACCAAATTTTCCACATAACTCACCTGTAGGTCCTCCTAACACACAATTTCAACAAAACTCACCTGTAGATTCTGCTAACACCAAATTTTCCACATAACTAACATATTATAGAATCTGCTAACACCAAATTTTCCACATGAATAACCTTTAGACTCTGCTAACACCAAATGTTCCACATAACTAACATATAGAATCTGCTAACACCAAATTTTCCACATAACTCACCTGTAGGTCCTGCTAACACCAAATGTCCACATAACTCACCTGTAGGTCCTCCTAACACACAATTTTCAACAAAACTCACCTGTAGATTCTGCTAACACCAAATTTTCCACATAACTCACATGTAGGTTCTGCTAACACAAAATGTCGACATAACTCACCTGTAAGCTCTATTAACGCCGTATTCCGTTTTGTTCGCCTCGTTGTAGACCAGCAGATATTTGGGAGTGTCAAAATTATAATCATAAACTGCTTCCTTCTCAGTCCTTATTACCCTTGGAATAATTTTGGTTTGATGATTTTTTGTGCATGGGTCCTGTTGTCGGTGAACGATGAAATAATTTCACCCAATGTTAGCAAAAATAAAGTGTTTACATATCTATCAATCAAAATTGTATGTAAAGGAGAAAATTAGAATTGTCAACATATATGTATAACATTAAATTTAATTTTAACAATTATTTAATAAGGAATTGAACACAATTATTTACATACTAAATATATAACTTGTTGTAACGTCTATGATATGAAAAGAGTTTGTCAAAAAAAAAAAAAAACTTTCGACCAGGGAAGACGTATGCCGCACTCAGAGACACTACAATATAACAGGAAGTAAGCTTTACAACCAAGGGGTAGAAAAATGTTTGATATTTTAAAATTACAAGGAAATTTTCCACTCCGATGAATAGGAATTTTCAATTTTAGGCTGATGTGACGGTTACAAAAAGTAGGCCCATTTAAGCGCAAAAAGCAGCTGTCGATGAGGTACCTCGATATTTAAAAAAAAAGTTGACCATTCAACGGTGACCGGCTTTAAGTAGCTACCAATCAAACAAATTATGACCTTTAAAATTGTATTTATGCTGGTTGACTTGTTAAAAAGGGAACATTAGTTTTTAAAATCTATTTAAGCGCCCAATTATATTATATCAGTCTCAAAAAATTGAACTCTGTTTACATGCATTAGTTTCGTTTCGTCTCGAACTATATCAAGATGCTGAAAGGTGTTAGACGTCCCGGCAATGTCAAGGTCGACTTTAAAGTTGGCCATGTGGTGATGGAGTGTCCCAGTGAGCCAGTCGTTCAGACGGAAGCCGTAATCACGCCGACTGTCCTTGAAGGGCGTCACTTGGATATAGCCTTTGGGAAACGTCCAAAGAACAGTGTGTCATATGGATAAAGCCTTTTGGAAACGTTTAAAGAATAGGGTGTCACATGGATATAACCTTTGGGAAACATTTAAAGAACAGTGTGTCACATGGATATAGCCTTTTGTAAACATTCAAAGAATAGGGTGTCACATGGATTTAGCCTTTTGGAAACATTCAAAGAATAGGGTGTCACATGGATTTAGCCTTTTGGAAACATTCAAAGAATAGGGTGTCACATCTATTTAGCCTTTTGGAAACATTCAAAGAATAGGGTGTCACATGGATTTAGCCTTTTGGAAACATTCAAAGAATAGGGTGTCACATGGATTTAGCCTTTTGGAAACATTCAAAGAATAGGGTGTCACATGGATTTAGCCTTTTGGAAACATTAAAAAAACAGTCGGATTTATGTCAGTCAGACTGTCCTTAAGAGGCGTCGATTGGAAATAGCCTTTTGGAAACATTCAAAGAACAGTCAGATTTCTTTCAATGTGTTACACAATAATATTACATCCTTAATGTGAAAGAACTAGAAATGGGTTATAATCTGAGTTCCTGCTAAGATATAAAAAAAAAAAATGCTTAACTAAATATGTGGTCGATTACCAGTTCTCTCCCGTGTGGCCTTTTTTGAACGTATTTACATGAATCGATACAATCGCTTTTTATTGAATCGTGCTTTACTAATAAAGCGATTTAAGGTTGTTCACTTGAACATTATATTTTCAGGATAACCTATTTTGAACATAAATATGTATTAATGGGTATGTTTTATACTAAATTACTCAAACTATTTTTTTGACATAAATAATGTTAGCTACTTAGAGAATAGTGTTTTCATCTGTTTTAATGAGTAATTTGCATTAAATAAGACCACTATTTTATAAAAATCTATATTGATACTTAGTAATATCTAGGGCATTTGTCATTCACCTGTACTCATGAACCGAGTTTCAATCACCCCATTTTGATGAAATATATAGTCTACAACGTAATCATAATTGCCAATCGTCAAAATAGATCTGAACAGATGAGAGAAAAAAAATCAATATTAGTAAAACTCTGGAACGGAACAATTTTACAATATGTCAAAGAGATGTAATGTTTTGAGAAATATTCTGACCAGCACGAAGAGATAACACACGTCAGAGCCATCAACGGTTATCAGGATATGATAATAATCATGATCATTTGACCTCATCAAATAGTTGCTGTGATGTCCCTTTATGTGCAAAACTCCTAAACGACCAGATTGCCGTACACTGCATTCCCACAAATCACAGTAGGTATATATCTACATAAGTTGGCTGGGTGAGGAAATCCCAAGCTGATGGACTGGAGTTAATCCCAGAAAACGCCTAGAGAAAGCACCAGCAACCCGGATAGATGTGAACCAACGCATCTAAGCGAAGACAAACTCTGAAATCAAACCAGGAGATGCAGTCCCATACGCGGTATGACATGACTTAGTGAACATTCCGACTACTGCTGAACGACATAGAGCACATAAAGAGCACATTGAGACACAAGTAACACTGCTTGTCATCTAGTGCATCCTGGTTATTTATTTCCAGTCGTCTTGAATAAAACTTGACATTGCAATCAAATGGGCACAAACGAGAGAGTGAGGCTGAAGAATTGAGCGAATCTCATTGTCTTCTAAACGATCTATCCATTATCTATCTATCTATCTATCTATCTATCTATCTATCTATCTATCTATCTATCTATCTATCTATCTATCTATCTATCTATCTATCTATCTATCTATCTATCTATATGTCTATATATATATCTATCTATCTATCTATCTATCTATCTAACATCTATCTATCTATCTATCTATCTATCTATCTATCTATATATCATACATCTATCTATCTATCATACATCAATCTATCTATCTATCATACATCGATCTATCTATCTATCATACATCTATCTATCTATCTATCTATCTATCTATCTATCTATAATACATATATCTATCTATCTAACATACATATGTCTATCTATGTATCTATCATACATCTATCTCTCTATCATACATCTATATATCTATCTATAATACATCTATCTATCTATCTAACATACATATGTCTATCTATCTATCATGCATCTATCTATATGTCATACATCTATCTATCTATCTAGCTATCTATCATGCATCTATCTATCTATATATCATACATCTATCTACCTATCTATCTATCATGCATCTATCTAGCATACATCTATCTATCTATATATCTATCTTTCTATCTATCTATCTATCTATCTATCTATCATACATCTATCTATATATCTATGTATATATCTATCTATCTATCATCTATCTATCTATCTATCTATCTATCTATCATATATCTGTATATCTATCTAACTATCTATCTATCATGCAACTATCTATCTATCTATCATACATCTATCTTTCTATCACACATCTATCTATCTATCATACATCTATCTATCTATCTATCTTCCAATCATATATCTATCTATTTAAAATACATCTGTCTATCTATGTATCTATCACACATCCATCTATCTATCTATCATACATCTATCTATCTATCTATCTATCTATCTATCATCCATCTATCTATATATATATGATACATTTATCTATCTATCTATCTATCATACATATATTTATCTATGTATCTATCTATCTATCATACATCTATTATCTATCTATTATACATCTCTCTATCTGTCATACATCTATCTATCTATCATACATCTATTTATCTATCGATCATACATCTATCTATCGATCATACATATATCTATATATCGATCATACATCTATCTATCTATCGATCATACATATATCTATCTATCGATCATACATCTATCTATCGATCATACATCTATCTATCTATCGATCATACATATATCTATCTATCGATCATATATCTATCTATCTATCGATCATACATCCATCGATCTATCGATCATACATTTATTTATCTATCGATCATACATCTATCTATCTATCTATCGATCATACATCTATCTATTTATCGATCATACATCTATCTATCTGTCGATCATACATCTATCTATCTATAGATCATACATCTATATATCTATCGATCATACATCTATCTATCTATCGATCAAACATCTATCTATCTATCTATCGATCATACATCTATCTATCTATCGATCATACATCTATCTATCTATCGATCATACATCTATCTATCTATCGACCATACATCCATCTATCGATCATACATCTATCGATCATACATCTATCTATCGATCATACATCTATCTATCTTTCTATCATCTATCTATCTATCATCTATCGATCTATTTTACTATTTCTTAAGTATAAATTGCAACGGTGTGGGAAAACTGTGTACTTCTTTTTTTTTAAGCTGCATATCTTAAACCCCTACATAGTAACATACGTAAAAAATCATAAGTTGACTTAGCAAGAATAGCAGGTACCAAGTGACGAAATATGGCTTACATTTTCCCCAGGTATATGCTTGTGGAATCTTCTTGTTTATTCATAATGATTTTTTTTCTAAAGAGGTTCATTTTTTACTCATGTATATTTTATGTATTAAAATCATTTACTCAATTTTTGAAACTAAACAAACTGACTGAAATATTAAATGAGATCCTTCAGGTTTAATGTATTTCTCCCAAAGGAAAGAAAGCATAGAATGTAACGCATGGTGTATCACTATCACCTGATTGTGAATACCGAGTCTAACGTATGACATATTACTCTCACCTGAGTGTGAGTACCGAGTCTAACGTATGACATATTACTCTCACCTGATTGTGAATAACGAGTCTAACGTGTGACATATTACTCTCACCTGATTATGAATACCGAGTCTAACGTATGACATATTACTCTCACCTGATTGTGAATACCGAGTCTAACGTATGACATATTACTCTCACCTGGTTGTGAATACCGAGTCTAACGTATGACATATTACTCTCACCTGATTGTGAATACCGAGTCTAACGCATGACATATTACTCTCACCTAATTGTGAATACCGAGTCTAACGTATGACATATTATTCTCACCTGATTGTGAATACCGAGTCTAACGTATGACATATTACTCTCACCTGGTTGTGAATACCGAGTCTAACGTATGACATATTACTCTCACCTGATTGTGAATACCGAGTCTAACGTATGACATATTACTCTCACCTGATTGTGAATACCGAGTCTAACGTATGACATATTAATCTCACCTGATTATGAATACCGAGTCTAACGTATGACATATTACTCTCACCTGATTGTGAATACCGAGTCTAACGTGTGACATATTACTCTCAACTGATTGTGAATACCGAGTCTAACGTATGACATATTACTCTCACCTGATTGTGAATACCGAGTCTAACGTATGACATATTACTCTCACCTGATTGTGAATACCGAGTCTAACGTGTGACATATTACTCTCACCTGATTGTGAATACCGAGTCTAACGTATGACATATTACTCTCACCTGATTGTGAATACCGAGTCTAACGTGTGACATATTACTCTCACCTGATTGTGAATACCGAGTCTAACGTATGACATATTACTCTCACCTGATTGTGAATACCGAGTCTAACGTGTGACATATTACTCTCACCTGATTGTGAATACCGAGTCTAACGTGTGACATATTACTCTCACCTGATTTTGAATACCGAGTCTAACTTGTGACATATTACTCTCACATGATTGTGAATACCGAGTCTAACGTATGACATATCACTCTCACCTGATTGTGAATACCGAGTCTAACGTATGACATATTACTCTCATCTGAGTGTGAGTACCGACGTTTGAGTATGACATATTACTCTCCCTTGAGTGTGTGTACCGAGTCTAACGTATAACATATATCTTTAACTC